CGACCCTCATATTTATCCCTGGTTGGATGGTGCCATCGCTGAAGAAGATGGAGACGAGATATCTAAACTGGTCAGTGTCCTGAAGCGCATCGCATCCCTCTTCAATTGTAGATCAACATCGCCTGATCAGTTCCTCATCACTTTTAACTTATGGGCGTTAAGGAAGAGGCTGGCCTTCCCAGCTATGCTGCATACGTAAGCCCTCAGTTGATACGAGAGCCCGTCTGGTGTACTACTCACTAAGACAATATCATCTGCGTACCCCACGAAAGTAAGATATCTCTTGAACTGCGCCTTCTGTCTGAATTGAGACATTTTTCTGTCAGGATTAGTACTGTTTCAGACAAAAAAGTCGACAACAGCGTTGAATAGCAAAGGCGAATGCATATCTACCTGGCGAACTCTAAGTTAATACAGAACCACTCAGAAAGCTCTTCTCGAACTTTGACAGCATACATGCTTCCTGCATACTGCTTTTCCAGAATGGTCACGATGCGTTCAGAATGAAATTTCAAAATTTTCCACATCGTCTGACGAAGCAGTGAATTGGACGCAGCCTTCAAGTTGAGGAAAGTGCAATCGACGACGCTGGTCAATGATCCTACGCAGAGTGAAAATTTAATTAGGATATGAGTACCATTGCTGAAGGCTTGATTTGGGCGAAGTCTTCCATCAACTGCTTGCCTCCGCCTTTCCAGCATAGTCCAGGAGAAAATTTCTAGGAGTTCACAGTAGTGTGATACCACAATGATTCGACCACTTGGTCACCCGACCCCCTACAAATATAGCTAGAATTACGGTACACTTCTGCTCACTTGAGAAACGTTTATAGATCTGCATTTTATGAAACTGGGTACTGAACTTCTGTACCATTCCCATTCCTCCTAGCTTAATTAAATCTCCAGGAATTCAATCCACCCCAGAGAACTTCTTCACCCTGAGGTGCAACAACGCCTTTAAAGTTTTCCAATTTTACTAGTGGGTATGTATTAGCCTCTAGCGAATTTACGGTCAGAAATGACGAATCTGGAGGGCAACCGATGAGTACTTGCTAGAAATGAGCGTTCCTAATAGTCCCGCGTTCCTAACAGTCTGTTAATGGGACACCCTTACAATCTTGCATAAGGACAAAACAAGTCTTCTGCCTATCGGACAACTGCCTCCTCTTTGAACACTGTGCGCTATTCACCCCTTCTGGCTACCTTGTCGATCTTCGTGATTTCTCCCACAAGTCAAAGTTTCCTGCTCCGTCTATAACTTTAATTGATTGTGTGAACGAGATGATGGCTGTTTTCAAGGGTGAAGTAATGTGTTGCAAGTGCTCTGTCTTTGAGTGATTCTTTCTCACTCTAAAGTCTTGGGTCTTCGTAACTCACGGCCGTTTAATTCTCCTCTTCCTGAACTAAACTACGCTTTTCGCAGAGGAAATCACGGTTTCTTTAAAATCTTCGTCGAACATATTACTTCCAGATTAGACACTAAGGATGGCATTAAAATAATTCTATCGGTTTTTGTTAGGCCGATGGCGCCGCTTCATCATATTTTAGTTGGTCAGCATCGAGCAGCTGATATGTTTAAACCAAAGAGCGTCGATGCGACGGCTAATTCTAGACAAAAATTCCACTACGATCATATGGTGATCAGACTCAGGACTGACGTTAATGAAGGTGTGGTCCAATTCGGTGTCTAGACTTCCCTCATGGGAAGTCCCAGTGGTTATGAGCAAAAAGGGTCGTACCGACGATTAAGCTATTTGTCGCAAAAGCGTAACAGATGTCTGCCGTTGTCATTCGCGCTGTCAATACCTGGTTACGTGCTGTGGTTAGGCATCCGTCTTTGCGTTAAGACTGTCTGACAGTTGTGACGTCGTGATGTGACGAAAGTTTAACAGTCGACTGCAAAGTATTCATAGAAAGCATATTTGTCGCTGTCATTCGAAACATTTGTGGGGTAATAGGTAACAATGGCATTCACCACGTCGCCTTCGCGACAGGAGGATTTTCTTCAACAACTGTTCCTCCAAAATAACGACCTCGCGGTTTACCATAGGGTACAAGAGGATACCCACATCAGCACGGCATAATCTACTGAGGCCTGACCATAGA